ACTCATTATAACAGGCATGTATTTACTATTTTGCCTCTTCTTTGTGTCCTTATGATTCTACACACGATATGTTTATGGTTCTATATGAAGCACTTGTAAATTACTCTGGAAGTGAGTAATTTTATTTTTATTTCTAAATGTTTATTTTTATATCCCACTATGTCAATCTGTGTGGAAAGAATATTAACAATGTTTTATTCTGATCACCACATATTTTAGCTACATTTAGTTTTTTTTTTCTCTACTTATACTGACAAGTTCAATTTAAGATTTTCATTAAATTGGTATAAGTATTAAAAAAATAAAATAAAAATTATATTTAGGAGATTTTTTTTCAAAATATAAAAGACCAACACCATCGATTTCGTTAACTTGGCTACACCTTTCTCCTTTTTGCCTAATTTAGTAGCCCCTTGTGTTTGTTTATGACAATTGTTGGCAAAGAAAAATAATATATTTTAAACAAAAACAAAAAGAAAAAACGATAAGGTTCTGCAACTGCAACTCAAAAAAGGCGATTTGTTTATCACTTTTTAGTCATGAAATATGGTGTTTTGCTTATATTACCTTGTATTCTCATTTTTCTTGTTCTAAGCCATGTTGAAGGTAATTTTAGTTTTTTTTTAATCAATTGCTTCTCAAAATATTTTTACAATTTAACCATTTTTGTGTTTGATATAATGTGATAGAGGTGGAAGCCATGAAAAAATTTGGGTGCAACACTACACACCCATTCCCTGGAAAATGTGGAAATAATGGAAGGAGTACATGTGTAAGCGATATGAAAAAAATTCCAGGTGCGCCTAAAAACCGTGATATACGTTGCGAATGTTCTGACCGTCCAAGTTTAACCTCACGTTTTCCTGGCGAACGTATATGTAGATGTGATTATGATTGCTAAGTTTTACTATACATATCTCCATTACTCAAATCTCTTTACTAATTAATAAGAGAGTAGCTACAAAGAGTTTTTGGCATCAACCTTCTACAAGAGAAATGTTGTACATGTAAGATGTTTTTCCCAAACTATAATACTTTTGATTATAAAATAAATATAGTTTTAGTAAATTTACATATTGTAACTCCCTTATCTATTAAAGATTATGTTCTCTCTTATGATACTATTGTCTAATTACATTATCAAAACATAAAACATTTTATCTTAAACCAATGACCGGATTCCACATCAGATTCAATCTCTATGGTATTAAATTATCTATGATCCCTCTATTCTAAATTAGTAAATTTAGATCAAAAATGACTTCACAATTACGAAAGGGGAAAAAGTAATAAAAGCTATAATTATTCAGTTTGGTTTTAGTAACTTAAAAAAAGCCCATAGTTATGTTTGAAATAGTCGTTGGACAAAGTAAAAAGTCATGGGCTTATTAAGTCCCTAAGCCTAATGGGCTAAACCAACTCTTCATAATTTCAAATGGTTGATACAATATCGATGTTCGAAACGTTTGTATGGTCGATGAAATTTAATTTGTTCTCCATGAAGTTAGAAAATCTTATAAAAATCAAGGGAAAATTCCCCAAAAAAGCCCAAATTATTTAATATTTGTCAGAAAACTACCTAAACTTTTTTCGTTGCCAGAAAAATAACAAACTAATTTGGGTTGGAAATAAAAACACGATCTAATTTTTTTTTCCGATTACCTCCCTTCGCCGTAACGACCGTCAACGACGTTAACGAAATCATCAAACGTTTTTAGTTTTATTTATGAAAAATTGTAGAAAAAAACCCAACTTATTTAATATTTGCCAAAACAATACCTGAACTTTTTTTTTTGCCAGAAAAATATACAGATCAATTTAAAGTTGAAATAAAAAGCACGACCTATTTTTTGTTCCAATTTTACCCACTTTATTGTAACAGTTATCAACATGTTAACCAAATAGTAAATACCGTTATTTTCTCATTTTCTTTGCACATGATAAATAAGAATGGCTAAAAAACCGATGTCAACATTTTTTTTTTTGTCAACCACACATTAATTAATAAATAACTCCTTGATTGGTTGCCCAATTAGGAGGAGAAGAGTTTACAAAAGTAACTTCAGAAAATAAAAGTCTAGAAGAACGGGCTAAGCAGTCCGCTTGAACAGTACATAAACGAGAAATAAGAGAAAGCGAGAAGAACGCGAAAGAGACACGGAGAAAACCAAATTCGTCTAGCAGATTGGAGAAAGCAGGCCATTCATCCGGTGACTGTATCATCGAGACTAACTCCGAGCAGTCTGTTTCAAACACCTGACAATCGATCCCTCTTGAAAGGATATTCTTCATAGCCCAAATTAAAGCTTCCATCTCCGAGTGAAGAGGGGAGAGACACCTCCGAAGGCACTTTGCACCGAGCAGTATCGTTTGATTATTTCCTTGAAAACACCACCATCCTATACCCATTGTTGGATCTGAATTTTTCCAAGAGCCATCAATCCGACATTTTATAGATTGAACCGGTCCTTCCAAAGTTTCCGTAATAGAACTAGTTTCGATCGGATCCAACTGAGCTTCTTCCCACAATAATTTTTCACTTAAAGCATGATTTAAAATGTCTCTGGGTTCAGATTGTAATCCCTTGAAAACCTTTTTATTCATATCTTTCCAGATGAACCACAAAATCCAAGCATAACTGAAGGTTTTCTCTCCCCCATCCAGATTAGATGGTAACCTCCAATAAAGATAATCTAGATTTGAGAATTCCGAGGTTAGAGGAAAACTACCTATTGCCGTAGGTATATCGGATAATTCCCATATTTTCTGAGAATGAGTGCACTCAAATAAAGCATGATTTATTGTTTCCTCTGCCATCTCACACCTTTTACAGAGAAAGTCACATCGGATCCCTCGATGTGCTAATTTTGAAGTAAGTGCTAGAGATCCCGTAGCAATTTGCCATAAGAAATGTTTTAGTTTTGGAGGGGCTTTGACTTTCCAAGCTTGTGCTTGTAAATTCTTATAATTTGGGCCCCATTCGATCGTTTCTGTCATCTCTCTAGCAACCCGATAGCCTGATTTTACTGTATATCTTTCTGATCTTGTATGATGCCAGATAAGCCTATCTGGCTTATAAACTTTGCTAATAGCCAATCCCCTAATAAACTGAATATCCACTGGATCCAAAAATTCTTGTAAAATGGGAAGGTGTCATTCTTTAGTAACCGGATTAATTAAATGGTTAACCATCAAACTTGGAAGTAATGTTTTTCCTCTTCCATTTGCGGGCCGTGGGGTAACATCAGGAATCCATGGATCTCGCCATACTGATAGATTGAAACCCGATCCTAGTGACCATCTAGCTCCCATTTCAACTAATCTTTTAGTTGAAAAAATACTCTTCCATCCAAATGATGGAGAATTTGGTTTTTTTGCCTGTAAAGGATGAATATTTCTGAAATATCTACTTTGTAGCACCCGAGCTACTAAAGAGTTCGGATATTGGATTAAACGCCAATACTGTTTAGCCAACATGGCATCATTAAAAATGTCTTGGGAATGAAAGCCTAAACCTCCTTCTTCTTTATCCTTACACATTTTTTCCCATGCTATCCAATGGATCCCACGATCTCTCCCATTGGAACTCCACCAATAATTAGAAATAGCACTTGTTAACTTAGATGTTAACTCTTGAGGTAGTTTAAAACAAGACATAACATAGGTTGGTAGTGCCAAAGCCACTGATTTGATCATTGTTTCTTTCCCACCTTTCGACAGAAATTTAGCTGACCAGCCATTAATCCGTTCATTAAGTCTTTCCTGGACATAATTAAAGATTTTACTTTTTGAGCCTCCTAAGCTCTCTGGTATACCCAAATAGGTACCCATGCCACCCTCCTTAGTGATTCCAAGGATGTTTTTAATTTGATCTTTTTTTTGGTTTGCTACGCGCTTACCAAACATAACCGATGATTTACTGAGATTTATTTCTTGCCCTGAAGCTTTACCATAATTCCCAATAATATCCATCACCGTTTTGCATTGCTCTGAATCCGCTTTACAGAAAAAGAGACTATCATCCGCAAAATCAAAATCAAAATCGATATAATACTTATATTAAATCCTAGTTTTAACATACAACATCTATCTATAAGAAGAACCTTCGGCTAACAAAGTGGGTAAAATTTCTTTATTTTCTGTTGTTCACATTATGATAGATTGTTGAAAAAAGCATTAGCAATTTAGAAAAAGTTACACATTAATAACATGATTTTAGTTGATTTTACTGAAGAAATCAAGGTTTTAGAGGATTTCTTTAATAAGTCAAGTTTTTTTAGGAATTTTTCTTAAACAAAATTAAAAGCATTTGACGATTTGGTTGGAGAAATCCTTAAAAAAAAAACAGATAGTGTTTTTTATTTCCAAGTTAAATTAGTCTGGGTATTTTTATGACAACAACAAAGTTCATGTATTTTTTGGCAAATATTAAATAAGTCGGGGATTTTTTTAGGAATTTTTCCGTAAATAAAATTAACAGCGTTTGACGATTTGGATAACGCTGTTAACGGCCGTTACGGCGAAAGGAGGAAATCGGAAAAAAAAATTAGTTAGTATTTTTTTTTCCAACCCAATTTAGTTTGTGTATTGTTCTGGCAACGAAAAAAGTTTAGGTGATTTTCTGGCAAATATTAAATAAATGGGGCTTTTTTAGGGAATTTTCCCTAAAAATCAAGGGAGACTAATTAATTATAACAAATTTTAATTAATTAGTATTCATATTAAAATTAATATTTTTAATATTATTAATATTTCAAGTTAAAGCAATTGGAACTGTAGTGTTTGTTTGACAAATATTTTTGCTTATGTAATAATTTGTATTCTAAAATTTTAATATAATGAATTTGCATTTTCGATTTGAAATTAATAAAATTTGACAGAACAAAAATTTAAGGATAAATTATCTTTTACTATTATGAATTCAAATTTTTTTATAAAAAAAAACTAAATTATTTTTAAAAGAAAATGTTCTCAGATTAAAACCTAGAGACGACCTATATATAAGCGTTAGGGTTTCTCTGTACCCTAAACCTCAAGCCGTCGTCGTCGTCTCCGAATTTCCCACTCAGAGACAAAAAAACAAAATGAAGACCATTTTGTCATCTGAGACGATGGACATTCCCGACGGCGTGGCCATTAAGGTAAACGCGAAGGTCATTGAAGTGGAAGGTCCACGAGGTAAACTCACTCGTGACTTCAAGCATCTCAATCTCGATTTCCAGTTGATTAAAGACGAAGTCACTGGAAAACGTCAGCTTAAGATTGATTCTTGGTTTGGTTCTCGTAAGACAAGTGCTTCTATTAGAACTGCTTTAAGCCATGTTGATAATCTCATTGCTGGTGTTACTCAAGGTTTTCTTTATAGAATGAGGTTTGTGTATGCTCATTTCCCTATCAATGCTTCTATTGATGGTAACAATAAGAGTATTGAGATTCGTAACTTCCTTGGTGAGAAGAAGGTTCGTGTTTTGTCTCTTGTGTGTTTGATTTTTCAGTTTTTGGTGTTTTGTTGATGTGTTTTGTGTGGATTAACAGGTGAGGAAGGTGGAGATGTTGGATGGTGTTAAGATTGTTCGATCTGAGAAGGTTAAGGATGAGATTATTCTTGAGGGAAATGATATTGAGTTAGTGTCACGGTCTTGTGCTTTGATCAATCAGGTACTTTCTTTGTTGGTTGTTTTGTTTTAAGGCTTCAGTGTTGTGAAATCTTGCATTGAGAATGAGAATTTGGGTTACTTGGAAATGTTGTTGTCATGGTGCTATATTGTGTTGAGGTTGTTTTGAGTAAAGCTGCAGACTTTGTCTTTGTTTCTTGTTGCTTGTTCTGTTTTAAGTCTTAAATGTTAGGAAATTTTGTGTTGAGAATGAAAAAATGTTGAATTTATCAGATGGGTTACTTGGAAATGTTGTTGTCATGCTAATCTGTGATGGTTTTGATTGTATTGTTATGTTTTGCTTAATAAAGCTATAGACTTTGTCTTTGTTTCCTTGCTTGTTCTGTTTTAAAGCCTTCAATGTTATGAAATCTTGCATTGAGAATGATAAAATGGTAAATTATCATATGGGTTTCTTGGAAATGTTGTTTTCATGCTAATCTGTGATGGTTTTGATTGTATTGTCATGTTTTGCTTTATAAAGCTATAGACTTTGTCTTTGTTTATTACTGCTTGTTCTGTTTAAAGACTTCAATGTTATGAAATCTTGCATTGAGAATGAAAAAATGGTAAATTTATCAGATTAGTTTCTTGGAAACGTTGTATGTAATGGTGTTGAATCTTATTTGTGATGGGTTTGATTCTCTTTTGCATAGTAAAGCTGTAGACTTTGACTATGTTAATCCTCTCTTATTGATGATGGTTTTGTTGTTCATCTTTGAGCAGAAATGTCATGTGAAGAAGAAGGATATTAGGAAGTTTCTTGATGGTATCTATGTGAGCGAGAAAGGCAAGATTGCCGTTGAGGAATGAAGTTTGCTATTGAAAATGCTATATTAGATTTTATATGGTGAAACAGTGATATTATCCTAGCTTTTTGTTTTATATCTCTCTTATGGATTTGTAGTTTTGTTTTTCGTTATGAATCATTGATGAATGCAAATTCATTATCCTCTATCTTTGGTCTTTTATTTACTCTCTTCTTACAGAGGTTTTGGAGACATCTTTTTTACTATATTGTGAACTGTTCCCTATATTCTTCAATCTGGTTTCTGGTTTGCGGATTTGTGAGTGACATACACAATGTTACTTGATTGGCTTGTTATTTTGCCTCCTTAAAAGTTATCAAATTGATTCTACTTAAGCTTGTAATATGTAATCAATTGACAAGACACAAATTAGAGAAGACATTAGTTAACCTAAGCCATAGAACTTTTTTTATGGCCTTAGTGTTGATCCAATAAGAAACCAATTTCTAGAATATTTTCATTCAGCATCTTTACCTTGATTTTCTCCAACAAGATTGGCTCTACACGTCTAGTGATGGTTTTGTTTACACACTTATAAGTAGAGGAAGAAGCAAAGAGCTTTGTACTATGGCCTCCACACAAATATATGAGAACCAAGAAATGAGCAACGTAAATATGTTTTGATGGATTAGGATCCATAGAATTTATAGAGATCCAATTTTACTCCAAAGTCTCCAACAATTGATCTTGCCTTCAAGGTAAACACTACACTCCATAATTTGATGCTCCATTTCTATTACATGAAAAAATGGTTTGAACACAGTCCATAAAACCTAGCATCTAAAGGGCATCAATGTTACCAATCAACCTTTCCTTTAGTGTGACGGACAAACTTTTGTTAGAATACAATAATTTCTCTAGAAAAATGTAGCCCATTTATTATTCCATAAATCACAACATGAAAAAAGGTCAGAAATCTTGTGATTGATTCATTGAATATCCATTCATAAATGTTTATATGCATATATAAGGTTTTCATTGAATTCAACATTGCAATGTTTGTTTGTATACATATGGTAAAACGAGATTAAAGGAGTCTATAGAGGAAAGTGAGGTTATTCTTGGTCAAAACTCCTATTTTCTCTCTAAATTAACTGTTCTTAGCTCTTTTTTTTTGCTATAGATTAGAGACAAATCTCTTCTTTTTTTTTTACCTTATTTTTGTTTTTGTTTCTTTCTTGTTCAATAATCTTATCACATTACGTTCTATGATGATGATGATTCACATTTGACATATCTTAACAAAAAAAATCCACTATGTCCTTCTCCTTCTTCTTCTTTAATCATATTTTGTAACTTTGCCCTTTTTTCTCTGTTTCTGTGTCAATTATAATCTCTACCTTAGATAAAGATTCAGTCTTTGCACTCAAGAATGGCGAAAGAGAATAGTGGTCATCATCACCAAACAGAAGCAAGAAGAAAGAAACTAACTTTGATTCTTGGTGTAAGTGGACTCTGCATTTTGTTCTATGTTTTAGGTGCATGGCAAGCCAATACCGTCCCATCTTCTTACTCGAAAGTCGGATGTGAGACGCAATCAAATCCTTCTTCTTCGTCGTCCTCGTCCTCTTCCTCATCATCTTCAGAGTCAGCTGAATTAGATTTCAAAAGCTATAATCAGATTGAGTTAAAGGAAACAAACCAAACCATCAAGTACTTTGAACCATGTGAGTTATCTCTCAGTGAGTACACTCCTTGTGAAGATCGACAAAGAGGAAGAAGATTCGATAGGAACATGATGAAATATAGAGAAAGACATTGTCCTTCAAAAGATGAGCTTCTTTATTGTTTGATTCCTCCTCCACCAAACTACAAGATTCCTTTCAAATGGCCACAAAGCAGAGACTATGCTTGGTATGACAATATCCCTCACAAGGAACTCAGTGTTGAGAAAGCAGTTCAAAACTGGATTCAAGTAGAAGGCGACCGGTTTAGATTCCCTGGTGGCGGAACGATGTTTCCTCGTGGAGCCGATGCTTATATTGATGATATTGCTAGGCTCATTCCTCTTACTGATGGTGGAATCAGAACAGCTATTGACACTGGATGTGGTGTAAGTTTTTCAATGTAAGTGTATACACTTCTTTTGTTCATTGCTTAATTCAATATCTGTTTTTTATATTAGGTTGCAAGTTTTGGTGCTTACCTCTTGAAGAGAGACATTATGGCTGTGTCTTTTGCTCCAAGGGATACTCATGAAGCTCAGGTACAGTTTGCTTTAGAACGTGGAGTTCCTGCGATAATCGGGATTATGGGATCAAGAAGGCTTCCTTATCCAGCTAGAGCTTTTGATCTTGCTCATTGTTCTCGTTGTTTGATCCCTTGGTTTAAAAATGGTAATGACAAACTTTGATTTGACTCATTTCTTTGTTCATAGCTAAGGAAGAAACATAACACTAAACTCTTTTGCAGATGGTTTGTACCTTATGGAGGTTGACCGGGTTTTAAGACCGGGCGGTTACTGGATCCTTTCGGGACCACCGATTAACTGGAAACAGTACTGGAGAGGGTGGGAGAGAACAGAGGAGGATTTGAAGAAAGAGCAAGATTCAATAGAAGATGTAGCAAAGAGTCTTTGTTGGAAGAAAGTGACTGAAAAAGGTGACTTATCCATTTGGCAAAAGCCTCTCAATCACATTGAGTGTAAAAAGCTCAAACAAAACAATAAGTCGCCTCCGCTATGTAGCTCAGATAACGCGGATTTCGCTTGGTAATTCCCATCTCAAAATGTAGTATTATTACCTTGGTGAAAGAACAATCTCAAAATTTGGTTTCTCTGTTTTAGGTACAAAGACTTGGAAACTTGCATAACACCATTACCAGAAACAAACAATCCAGATGAATCAGCAGGCGGTGCGCTTGAGGATTGGCCAAACCGAGCATTCGCGGTTCCTCCAAGAATCATCAGAGGAACTATACCAGACATGAACGCGGAGAAATTCAGAGAAGACAATGAGGTTTGGAAAGAGAGAATAACACATTACAAGAAGATAGTCCCAGAGCTTTCACATGGAAGATTCAGGAACATAATGGACATGAACGCTTTCCTCGGCGGATTCGCTGCTTCCATGCTGAAATATCCCTCATGGGTCATGAACGTTGTCCCAGTCGATGCAGAGAAGCAAACACTAGGTGTGATCTACGAACGTGGATTGATTGGAACATATCAAGATTGGTGTGAAGGATTCTCAACATATCCAAGAACTTATGATATGATTCATGCAGGAGGATTGTTCAGCTTATACGAACACCGGTAAAGTTTCATGGACTTCCAACTCTAAACCATATCCGTAAAACGCGATTAACCGAATGTTTTTGTGTGTTGTTAGGTGTGATTTGACGTTGATATTGTTGGAGATGGATCGAATATTGAGACCAGAAGGAACAGTTGTGTTGAGAGATAATGTGGAGACATTGAACAAGGTAGAGAAGATAGTGAAGGGAATGAAGTGGAAGAGTCAAATAGTGGATCATGAGAAAGGTCCTTTTAATCCTGAGAAGATTCTTGTTGCTGTTAAAACTTATTGGACTGGCCAACCTTCTGAAAAGAACAACAACAACAACTAGTGTTAAAACTTCCAAGTCTTTTGGAACTATTCACTCTTTTTTTTTGTTGTTGTTGTTTTATTTTCTTTACGAAAAATTATCTGTTTTTTTGTTTCTTTTTGAATTTTAATGACTATTAGGTTTAGAGACTAAAACATTTTTTTTTTTTGTCAACCAGACAATAATTAAAAAATAACTCCATAATTAGTTGCATAAGTAGGAGGAAAAGAGATTACAAAAGTGATATCAGAAAATAAGAGAGAGCGAGAATAAGGGAAAGATTGAAACATTTTTAAGAAGTACTTTTACGTAATTTATATGTTACGGTCTTTATAATTGTTTTGAATTGTTGTTTAATTTATTTAAACTTATTTTATCTATTTATAGGTATTTCTGATCATTTGAAATTGAACCAAAACTTTAACACTACAGTAAAACCTCCATAAATTAATACTCTATAAATTAATAACTTCTCTAAATTAATAAATTCTTTCGGTCCCGAGTTGGGACCAGTGTAAAATATGACATAAATCGATAAATTAATAAGATAATAATTTTTTTGAAAATCTCATGTAAACATATGGTCCCATCTATATCATAAATTAATAATTGTATTAACTTATCAATATATATATACATTATATAAATTTATATATATTATATATGAACTACTATGATATATATTTAAAATATTATATGTAAAAAATATGATAAAATATGACTCTATTAGTCGAAAAAGTTTGTGTTGTTTTTAAACTTAATAATTGTTTCTCTACTTGTAATTAGCTTTTAAAAGATACTGTTTATAAAGAAAAAATTTATTGTTAGATAGAAATTTTTTTAAGAAATTACAAAATTAATAAAATCTCTATATAAATTAATAATTATTAATTTATCGATAAATTAATACCTCTCTAAATTAATAAAATTTCTTGGTCCCAACATTATTAATTTATAGAGGTTTTACTGTAGTGTTTATAATTTATTAGAAAAAATACCTTTGGTTTAAGATAGTAGCGTTAATTTTCTAATTATAAACTAATTGGTTGAGAGAATGAAAAATGATGGAAACTATAAAAAAAAATATCAATTGTGATTTGAGAATAATATTATAATTGAATTTAAGTTGTTTTGATGATTGTTTCAATAATGTACAAATTGAACTTCACCAAAAAAATAAAAATAATGTACAAATTGAATATAGGCTCTTCAAAGTTCAAACTTACTTTGCTGTTTATTTTCCATTAAAAGAGAAAATTGTTTTCTTTTTTAAAGATAAAAGAAGAAAAAAAAAAGAAGAAAAAAAAAAAAAAAAAAGGTGTGGATGTGAACAAGTGTGATTGATGCTAATTTTCGTGAATCCTTCCTTAATCACACTAACACTAGAAACTTTGATAACAAAAAAAAAAAAAAACAGATTCAAACCTTTCTTCTTCTTCTTCTTCTTGCGTTCTCCAGAACAAACCAATTTCCAATCAAATCCTCTTTCTTCATCTCCACAAATCCAATTCCTGAGATTTTCTCGAAGAACGTACGTAATCCGATCTCATCTTTCGCAATCATCAACCATCGATGGAAGTCGAAGAAGAAGTTAAACGAATCATAGATGAGGTTAAGGACCTTCATGACTCCGCCGCTTCATTCATCTCATCATCTTCTCAACAAGAGCTCTCTCTCCGTCAAAAAGCCTCCGCCGTTGATTCCTCTATCCGTCGTCTCCACTCTACTCTCGTCTCCAACAAAAATCTCGATCCTAAACTCGTCGAAAAGGCAATTTTCTCTTCTTAAATCTCTTATCTCTTACTCTGATTTGGTTTCTTCAATTATTGAAATTGAAAATTGATCCTCTATTTATAGCTTGAGGAAGATCTTCATCGAGCTAGATGCATGCTTGTTGATGGAGAAACATCTTCATTTCTACCATCAAAACCTCAAGGTTTCTTCTATCCCTTTCTCTATGATCACTTCTTCGGATTCAATTTTGGTTTTGATTCTCATCTAATTGAGTGAAGCAGGACGTTTTGTGAGAATGTTTTGTGGACCTGTGAATGTTCGAGCTTTGCGTAAAGATGTTCAGCTCAAAGTTAAAGAAGAATACAATCGCTACAGAGTTAGTATATATATTTTTTTTTGCTTGCATGTGTGCTTCAATGTCGATTTTTGTGTCCTGATGAGTCTTGCTTTTGGCCATGGAACAGGACAAGACTGCTCTTCTTTTTCTTTTTTTCCCTGCAACACTTTTAATCCTTAGATCTTATTATTGGGGTGGATGTTTGCCTGCGTTTCCTGTTCAGCTCTATGAGGTAATTTTAGAGTTTGGTTTTGGGTTGCTTGAATATTGTATGTGTTGGAGTTTCTTGAGATTTAAAGTGTGAATTTTTTTATCGTTTTTACTAGGCTTGGCTGTTGTTTCTCTATGCTGGGTTGGCTATGCGTGAGAACATATTAAGAGCTAACGGGAGCGATATTCGTCCATGGTACTCTTACGCGTTCCCTCGTTCTATACAACTGTTAGACTTCTAAGTTTCTCATTGCTCTTCTGTTGATTACTTTAAATTTAGACTATTGTTTGTGTTGTGGTAGTTTTGATCTTAAAACCTATTTTGGCTTGCTAGTGAAGGCCATAGGACATAAAATTTAAGTTCGGAGTGATTTGTATGCTATATGTTGAACTTAGGTCCTATGCTAACCGAGCACATGTAAACTTTAATGAGAGTCATAGCACATAACTTTGTCAAGAACCTATTGTGTTTCTAAGAGTGTTGTGTCATGCTACAATGTGATCTTAGGTCCTATATTCACCAAGCTCATCTGTTGCTCCTAAGGTCGTTTGGTCTTTTGGGTGTCCTTATCTCTCTATCTTGCTTATCTATTTTGTATGCTGATTGAACACATTATTCTGTTGTTTCGTTGCTTAACCAAAATAGATCAATTTTGGTGTGCTTCGTTCTTTGCAGTTAACAAAGGATGATTGTCTTCTAATCATGTAAAATATCAGTTTCAAATGTCATTTAAGATGGCTATGGTGACCATAAATGAGAATTACTAGTAACTGTTGGCTTGACAACAAACCTACACGTTTTGCTTCTGTTTGTTAGCATCTCTTCAGAGTACACTGAATTTATTATTGAATCATACTAAGAGTGAAAGACTAGATCTCTATTTCTAATTAGTGTATCATGTGCCATGGCCGTTGGCACACATGCAGATATTCTTTCTCTGAAGAGTCTCTTTACTTAGAAATTATTCACATGCGGATATGTATAGAAGCATAGATATGCGTACAGGAAACGGTAGCTTATATGGTTTTGTCAAGTAGAAAATTAGATCTCTATAAATTTCATGAGTTTTAACAGAGCTTTGGCTTCAATATAATCCTCTTTGGGTGGGGGGTTTGGTATAATCCTCTCTATCTGTGTTGATGTAGCTGTGTTTCGTTTGGTATATCAAAATATACTGGGTTGGTTATGCGAGAGAAAATATTGAGTCAGTGGGAGTGAGTACTTTCCTCAGTCGATTATAACAGTTATGGTCTCTTAAGTTTCTCTTTGCTCTTGGTACACTATATATAGAAAGTTATAGGGCATAAATTCGGAGATGGAGATAGATGCGCCATGATAATGTTGACGTATATTTACCAAGCATATGTGTTGTTGGTACCTCTTCAGAGTATACTTAATATATTGGTTAATCATTTGGTCAAGTAGAAATTAGATATCTGAATATTTCTTGGGTAAATATAGGGAGCTTTAGCTTCTGTGGAATCCTCTTTCTGTCGGGGTTTGAATTCGGAGAGAATCTCTTTACCTGGATTGATTTAGGTGTTTTGTTTGGCTTTTTATCAAAATATTCTCATAAGTTGGGTGACTTTAACCTCTGAAGCTGATATGGTTTTGCAGGTGGCTATATCATCATTATTGTGCCATGGCTATGGCCCTTGTCAGCCTCACATGGGAAATCAAAGGTCAACCAAACTGTGTCCAGAAACAGGTACTGCTTAGAGTTATTTCTTTTAATGAAGACTAAAAGTTCACAAAGTAAATATATATGACTTCAATCCTCTACAGAGAGGAGTCCATCTTTTCCTGCAATGGGCTATGATGCAAGGCGTTGCCATGCTTCTGCAGAACAGATACCAACGCCAAAGATTATACACTCGCATTGCACTAGGAAAGGTGCTTTATTATGTGCACTTTTTTTCTTCAGTCCAAAATTCTATCCGCTTTTGTAAAAATAGCTCTAAAGTGTGCCTTGTGGTTATTTTCAGGCTAAGAGAATGGATGTCGTATGGGGAGAAACGGCTGGCGTTGATGGACAATTATGGCTGTTATGTCCTATACTGTTCATTTTACAGGTGAGCCTTTTTCTGTAAATGTATGAATCAAGTTTATGCTAAAATGTTTTAAAGCGTTTCATTTGCTCTACCGTGCACCAGGCTAGAGTGGTTTACTGATTGTTTTAATGCCTTCTTTCTTTTTAACTATTGTGAACATTTCCATGGCTTTGGAGATCTAAAGAAACGCATTCAAAACTATAGCTTCTGTATTGTTGCAAGTATAAATTTGAAAGTCAAAATATTTCATATATATTTTCGATAGATATTAATGAGATCGTTGCTTAACAATGTTTGTAACTTTTGCTAAAACGCAGGTGTTTGAAGCATACGTTGGACTGCTGTTGCTAAGAAAAACAGTAACCGGAGTTGTTAATGAATGGCAGGTATATTATTTTCACTCTTGTGGCATTGTTTTCAACTTGTCTATTCCCGGTAGAAGCCGAAAAATCCTAATTCAATAGAGAAGAGAGATTAAAACGGAAGTAAAAGTAACAGAAATGTTGAGGATGTTGTGATGTTGTCATTTTCAGGTGATGGTTTGTGGCATTCTTCTGGTAGTGATGGCTGTTGGAAACTTCATAAACACAGTAGAGACACTGATAGCAAAATCAAGAGTTAAGGCAAAGATGAAGAGAAGTAAAAGCAGAGCAGAGCTTAATTAGACTTCACAGGTCTCATCTGTTAAAATCACTCGTCTTTATTTGCAATTCATAAATTTTTGTTTTCTTAGGCCACAAAATTCACATCCTGGGATCTGAAAAAAAAAACTATGAACTTCTTTTTTTTATTTTTATGTAAATGGAAGTGGCAGTTGATATTTGATAATTTAAGTTGTATTTGTACAATTTTCAACTGACAATTTGTAGGATTCTAAGGGGGTGTTATTAGTTTGTTAATTTGTAAATCCATATAGAATTTGAAAATTTCTATTAATTATGAAATCAAGATATATGGATTTTGAAATAACATGTGTTTACCCATAGATTTGAATCCTTCTATTTTTCTCTTTCAATTCCATTCAATTCCATTTAAAACATAATTTGGATTCTCAAATCCAAAAACAAATGACTAAACGAATAACATAAGATTTTAACTAGTATTTATAAATCATAGAACCAATAACACATGAATTTAATTAGGATTTTAAAATCAATGATTGAATAACAAATGATTTTTGTTTGGATTTCTAATTCCATATAAATCTATGAACCAATAACCCCTCCTAAAATTGTCAGATCTTGAAGAAAGATGATAGTGTTAAAATAAGACAAGTATCCGAGAAAAAAAAAAAAAAAAAAAAAGACAAGTATCCTTGAACAAGGCCCAAGCCCAATACAGGCCCATTTGGGGTATCAAACCACAACCACTCCCTAAAACCAGTTAAGTCAAGTGTAGTGTCAGTGTGTCACTACGAAGCTCTGTGATTCTGAAGTTCTGATACCGTCTTCTTCTTTCTCCCTTTCGATTAAAGTTTCCAGAAATGCTTCCACAGTTCTTCAGGCGCTTTTGATTTACCTCTAATTCCGGCTCAGAGGCGGAAAAACCGAGCCTTTACTGGATTTCACCGGAAATAGACTCATCACTTAACAATCCAGAGCTTTCTAGGGTTTTTCTCTTGTTCCTCTGTGTGGCTGTGTTTTTTTTCTTGTTTGGTTCGCTTGGGACAAATCTTTTTAAGTCTCTATTGTGTTTTCTTGAGTTTCTTTTTCAGGGTCGGTGACATTTTCTTGATTATTGTAAAGATATGGACAGAATCAGTGGGTTACCTGATGAACTACTGGTTAAGATAATATCGTTTGCTCCGACTAAAGTTGCTGTAGGAACTAGCATTTTGTCGAAACGATGGGAGTTTCTTTGGATGTGGTTGACAAAACTTGATTACTGTGATAGATATTATTCAGAACCTGAATGCAAGAGTTTACAGTGTTTTCTTAATAGAAATCTGCCGTTACATAGAGCTCCGGTTATAGAAAGCTTCCGTCTTAAGCTAAGTGAGTCAGTATTGAAACCTGAAGATATCAGAATGTGGGTTGTAGTAGTTCTTTCTCGCTATGTACGTGAGCTGAAGATTTATATTTCTCGTCATCAGGAGAAGCAAAACATATTGCCAAGTAGCTTGTATACCTGCAAGTCGCTCGTGTTCTTGAAACTCGATGGCAGGATTCTCTTGGATGTTCCTCGAATGGTTTGTCTTCCCTCTTTGAAAACTTTGGTACTCAAAGGTGGGTGCTACTTCAAAGAAGGATATCTTCAGCGGCTTCTATCTACTTGCCCTGTTCTTGAAAATCTAGTTGTGCATTTACTTCATCGTCATGACATTATGGGAAAGTTCACTGTTATTGTCCCATCTTTGCGATGTTTATCACTCTATATAGGTTATCATTGTGATTTAGATGAGTTTGTCATAGATACTCCTTCTTTAGAGTATTATCAAACTTGTGGATCTTAATTATGATAGTCACCCTTTTTTGATTGCGAATATGCCTAAGCTGACGGAAGCATATGTCGATGTTACATTCGCTGATATCAAGAGTCTCCTAGGATCAATCACATCTGTCAAGAAGCTTACAATATGCTCTAAGGTAATCAGTTTCAATCTCTAAACTTCAAGTCGTTAATCTTATTTATAAAAGTCTCTGTTAATTTATTTTTTTTATCGTCCGCAGGTTGCGAATGGTGACGGTTTTATCTTCAACCACCTTGAGCATCTGACGATATATGTATGGAAAGAGTATTCATCGCATCTCCTTGTCCAGTTCCTCAAAGACACTCCTAACTTACGAGAACTAATACTCTCCTCCCAAACCGATGTAAGGTTCCTTCTATTAACTATTATTTTTTATCTATTGCACATGATTTTTTTTTTTTATTTTCAATCTGATTCTTCTCCTTAATCTCAGAATTATGAGAATGTTGATATGCTTTCCTGGAATCAACCGAGTACTGTTCCTGAATGCATGTTGTCGAGTCTACAAAATATCACTTGGGCACAATACTTAGGAAGACCACAAGACAGAGATATTGCGGTTTACATCCAAATAAAGTTTTCAGAGATGGAAGAGAAACCATACAAGCAGGAGAGTAAAAGAACAAGACATTCATTTCCTGATGGAACTTAGAATCCTATTATATCAATGAAAACATCTAATGATTCAAAACCTCATTAAAAGTTAAGCTCGCATGTTGTTGAAGCTCGGGAAGAACGTGTCAACTCCTTTATCATCTCGAGTTCTGAAACCAAACATGCATCAGATACAATTGTTGCAGTCCTTGTAAAACTTGAGTTTGGTAATAAACATTATTCAGAGTCTGATTTCAAGAGTTTACAGTGTTTTCTTGATAGAAATCTGCCATTACATAGAGCTCCGGTTATAGAAAGCTTCCGTCTTGTGTTAAGTGATTCAAATTAGAAAACCTGAAGCTATCAAAATGTGGGTTTTAGTAGTTGTTTCTCGCTACATACGTGAGCTGAAGATTTATAGTTCTCATTATGAGGAGAAGCAAAACATATTGCCAAGTAGCTTGTATACCTGCAAGTCGCTCGTGTTCTTGAAACTTGATGGTGGGATTCTCTTGGATGTTCCTCGAATGGTTTCTCTTCCCTCTTTGAAAACTTTGGAACTTAAAGATGTGATATTCTTCAATGAGGCATCTCTTCAGCGGCTTCTATCTAATTGCCCCGTTCTGGAAGATCTGTTGGTAGCTTTATATTATCATGAAAATATGGAAAAGCTTACTGTTATTGTCCCATCTTTGCATCGTTTATCACTCTATATATGGTATAATTGTGAGTTTTTCATAGATACTCCTTCTTTAGAGTATTTCACACTTGCGGATCGTAGTAATAGCAGCTCCTATTTGATTGAGAATATGCCTAAGCTGATGGAAGCATATGTCATTGTTACATTCGCTGATATCAAGAGTCTCATCGGATCAATCACATCTGTCAAGCGGCTTACAATATCCTCTAAGGTAATCAATTTCAATCTATCAACTGCTAGTCGTTAATCTCATTTTTAATGTTAATACTTTTTTGTCATCCGCAGGTTGGTTATGGTGACGGTTTTATCTTCAACCACCTTGAGCATCTAACGCTATATGTAGGGAAAGAGTATTCATCGAATCTCCTTGTCCGGTTCCTCAAAGACTCTCCTAACTTACGAGAACTAATGCTCCACTCCATTACGGATGCAAGTCTCTTCGATTAACTATTTTTTTTTGTCTAATTCACATTATTTCGTTTTTTTAAGTCTAATTCTTCTGCTTGATCTCAGGATCATGAGAATACTGATATGTTTTCGGGCATCAACCGAGTACTGTTCCTGAATGCATGTTGTCGAGTCTACAAAATTTCACTTGGTCACAATACTTAGGAAGACCACAAGACAGAGATATGGCTGTGTACATCTTGAAAAACGCTTGTCGCTTAAGGACTGCAACAATCTTGGCTAATACACGTTTGGTTCCAAAATTCAAGATGATAAAGGAGTTGGCACAGTCTTCTCGAGCTTCATCAACATGCGAACTCGACTTTGAGGATGGGAGTTTTTAAGATGTTTTCATTTATATAATAGGATTCTAATTTCTATCTAGACCTGTCTGTTGTCCAACAAAGATCCTATAACGAATGTCTTGTTCTTCTACTATCTTGCTCGTATGGTTTGTCTTCCATCTATGAAAACTTGTTTTCGACAGAAAAAGTGTTTATGTATAATGGAGATATACCTAGTATGTCGACAGAAAAGTTTCAAGCTTTGCGTAATGATGTTCAGCTCAAAGTTAAAGAAGAATACAATAGCTACAGACTCAGTATTTTTTTGTTTGCATGTGCCCTTTAATGTCGATTTCATGTTTTTGAATTTATCTCAGTGTGGTTGTTTTACTGTTGCCATGGAACAGGACAAGACTGCTCTTCTTTTCCTTGTTTTCCCTGCAACACTTTTAATCCTTAGATCTGGGGTGGATGTTTGCCTGCGTTTCCTGTCCAGCTCTACGAGGTAATTTTAGAGTTTAATCCATAGAACATTAATTTTAGTTCCGGAGACAGTAATGTGAGTGTTGTGTCATGCTATATGTTGAACGTAGGTCCTCTGTACAACCAAGCACATGTATAGTTTAATGAAAGTCTAGAAAATATTGGGTTTCTAAGAGTGTTGTGTCTTGTCACTGTGTAGATTTGAGTTCCTCAAAGACTCTCCTAACTTACGAGAAGTAGAATACTTCTCTGAAACGGAAATGGATGACGTAAGTTCCTTCGATTAGCTATTATTTCTTATCTATTGCACATTATGTTTTTTTTTTTTTTAAATCTGATTCTTCTCCTTGATCTCAGAATTATGAGAATTTTGGTATGTTTTCCTGGAATCAACCGAGTACTGTTTCTGAATGCAAGTTGTTGAGTCTGCAAAATTTCACTTGGTCACAATACTTAGGAAGACCACAAGACAGAGATATCGTGGTTAACATTTTGAAAAACGCTCGTCGCTTAAGGACTGCAACAATCGATTCTTATACATGTTTGGTTCCAGAACTCGAGATGATAAAGGAGTTGACACGTTCTTCCTGAGCTTCAACAACATGCGAACTCAACTTTAATTGAGGATTTGAGATTTTAAGATGTCTACATTTACATAATAGGATTCTAATTTCTATCTAGACTCGTCTGACTGTCCAACAAAGATCAGATCATGAATGTCTTGTTCGTTTACTCTCCTGCTTGTATGGTTTCTCTTCCATCTCTGAAAACTAGTTTTCGACAGAAAGCTTGTATATGTATAATATACCTTGTATGTCGACAGAAAAGTTTGAGCTTTGCGCAAAGATGTTCAGCTCAGAGTTAAAGAAGAATACAATAGCTAAAGAGTTGGTATTTTTTTTGCTTGCATGTGTCGATTACATGTTTTCAGAGTTATCTCAGTGTGGTTGTTTTTTTTGTTGCCATGGAATAGGACAAGACTTCTCTTCTTTTCCTGTTCAGCTCTATGAGGTAATTTTAGAGTTTGGTTTTGGGTTGGTTGAATATTGTATGTGTTGGAGTTCTTGAGATTTAAAGTGTGAATTTTTTTTATCTTTTTTACTAGGCTTGGCTGTTGTTTCTCTATGCTGGGTTGGCTATGCGTGAGAACATATTAAGAGCTAATGGGAGCGATATTCGTCCATGGTACTCTCTCTTCATTCTTTTACAACTGTTATGATCTATTAAGTTTGTCTTTGCTCTTGCTGTTGATTGCATAAAATTTCGAGTGTTCTTTGTGTCGTGCTCTCAAGACCTATTTACCGACTGCAGGTCTTGCTATAAGACATAATTTTTTAATTCCGGAGTGATTTTTTATGTTATATGTTGAACTTAGGTCCTAGGCTTACAAACACATGTGAGGTAGAAATTAGAAGCATAGACATGTGCACAGGAAACGGTAGCTTATATGCTTTAGATCTCTATATATCTCCTGAGTTTAAACAGAGAGCTTTGAATCCTCTTAATAACATACCAAACCCCCACCCAAAGAGGATCTCTTTATCTGTATTATGCGAGAGAAAATATTGAGAACCAGTGGGAGTGATATCCATCCATGGTACTTTTCCTCAGTCAACTATAACTGTTATGGTCTCTTAAGTTTCTCTTTGCCCTTGGTAAATTGGGAGTGTTCTCGGTGTATCTGTTACGTAATATGTACAAAGTTATAGGGCATGGATATAGATGTACCATGATAATTAATGTTGACCTATATTTACCAAGGATATGTGTTGCTTGGTGAAACTCAGGGTACATAACTTAAGTAATGTTGTTGGTGCCTCTTCAGAGTACACTGAGTATATTGGTCAATCATTTGGTCAAGTAGAAATTAGATATCTGAATATTTCATGGGTAAAATTAGGAGCTTTAGCTTCGGACTCCGCTTTTTGTGGGGTTCAAATTCGGAGAGAATTTAGGTGTTTCGTTTGGCTTTGTGTCAAAATATTCTCATAATTCGGGGTGACTTTAACCTCTGAACCTGATATGGTTTTGCAGGTGGCTATATCATCACTATTGTGCAATGGCTATGGCCCTTGTCAGCCTCACATGGGAAATCAAAGGTCAACCAAACTGTGTCCAGAAACAGGTAATGCTTCGAGTTTTTGTTTTGTTTATATGAAGACTAACAAAGTAAATATTATATATGACTTCAACCCTTTACAGAGAGGAGTCCATCTTTTCCTACAATGGGCTATGATGCAAGGTGTCGCCATGCTTCTACAAAACAGATATCAACGCCAGAGATTATACACTCGCATTGCACTAGGAAAGGTGCCTTATTATGTACACTTTTTCTTTTCAGTTCAAACTTCTATCCGCTTTTGTAAAAGTAGCTCTAAAGTGTGCCTTGTGGTTAATATTCAGGCTAAGAGACTGGATGTCGTATGGGGAGAAACGGCTGGCGTTGATGGACAATTATGGCTGCTATGTCCTATACTGTTCATTTTACAGGTGAGCTTCTTTGTGTACATGTATGAATCAAGTTTATGCGTAAACATTTTAAAGCGTTTCATTTGCTCTACCGTGCACCAGGCTAAAGTGGTTTACTAGTTTTAATGCTTTCATTCTTTTTACTACTGCGAACATTTCCATGGCTTTGGAGATCCAAAGAAACTCATTCAAAACTATAGATTCTGTATTGACGCAAGTATAAATTCGGAAGTCAAAATTTCCCATTCAAAATTCTTAAGATGGCTTGTACAGTAGAACCTCTTTGCTCTTTCCACAACAATCCAAAAAAAACTTTGCACGGTTGACGGTTCATGCTGGTAATGTTGAGATTTTCTGTGTAATGTATTAGGCTTAACAATGCTTGTAACTTTTGCTAAAACGCAGGTGTTTGAAGCATACGTTGGACTGCTGTTGCTAAGAAAAACAGTAACTGGAGTTGTTAACGAATGGCAGGTATATTATTTTCTCTCTATTGTGGCATTGTTTTCAACTTGTCTATTCCCGGTATAAGTCGACAAATCCTATTCAATAGAGAAGGGAGTAAAAGTAACAGAATTATTGAGAGCGTTGCCGTTAATGTCGTTTTCAGGTGATGGTTTGTGGTATTCTTTTGGTAGTGATGGCTGTTGGGACTTCATAAACACAGTAGAGACACTGATGGCAAAATCAAGAGTTAAGGCAAAGATGAAGAGAAGTAAAAGCAGAGCAGAGCTTAATTAGACTTATTTACAGGTCTCATCTGTTAAAATCACTCGTCTTTTCTTTTTTGTTGCAATTCACACATTTTTGTCTGAACATCCTTTTTCTGTGTAAATGAAAGTGGCATTTGATATTTGATAATTTATGTTGTATTTGTACAATTTGCAACTGACAATTTGTAGGATTCTAAAAGTGTCGGATCTTGAAGATGATATAGTATCCTTAAAAAGAAGGCCCAAGCCCAGGCCCACTTGTGTATCAACCACTTAGTGTAGTGTCGTCGACTCGTCGCAATGAAATGAAGCTCTGTGATTCTGAATTTCTGAGACCTTTCTTCTTCTTTCTCCCATTTTCGATTCAGAACTGTAGAGTCTCCAGAAATGCTTCCGCAGTTCTTCAGGAGCTTTTGATTTACCTTCTGATTCTGGTTTTTCAGGAGCTTTTGAGAAATCAAATATCGATTGCGTTTTATCTCTTTTTCGAAATCCAAAACCCTAAAATTTCTCAATTTCTCTTCCTCTCTTCTTCTTCAAATCTCCCCAGAAACCGTTATTGAGAGATTTCGAAACTATCTTGCAACTTTATTGAGAGATTTTCTCGTTTCTTGCATCTTTAAAAGGAACCTCCGTTTTCTCCTTTGTCTCCGATTATGCCTCCAAAGAAAATGGGGTTAAAGAGGAAGAGAGTAGTGGATCGAACAAAATCGGTATTGTAAGATGATGGAGGTGCAACGACAACGACGGAGCAGCCATCCCCGACGGAGCTGCCATCCGCGACAAAGCAAAAGAAGGCAATTGAGGGAGGAGGAGTTGAATAACAAGTCCCGACCTTAAGTCCGGTTGTAGAGGCAGTGGAAGAAGAGTCTGAGAAGAATGAGGAAGAAGAGTCTTAGAAGAATGAGGAAGAAGAGTCTTAGAAGAGAAAGAAGAAGAAGAGAAAGAAGAAGAAGAGAAAGAAGAAGGGAATGATGAAGACGGAGGAGAGACAATGATAGTAGTAGATCCTTGTCCGGAGAGTTCTCCTCCGATGAGAGTATGGAGGATGAGATAGCAGATGGAAATGCAGTGGAAAATGCGGCTGATATGGTAAGTATTTGACAAGGGTAAAACTAGTAGAACAGGGTAAAACTATGTGTAAATCTGGGTAAAACTGGTAGAACAGGGAAACACTATGATTTCTTGGTAAAATTGGTAGAACAGGGAATACTATTGTGTGTTATAATGTAGAATTGGGTAATACTGGAAATACAATGGTATAACTATGTGTTTGAATTCTGGGTATTATTGGTAATACTAGGGTATTACTATATATTTGATTTTTGGGTAATACTGGTAATACTAGGGTATAATAATTTGTATAAATTCTGGGTAATACTGGTAATACTAGGGTATAACTATGATATATGAATGAATGTCTGTTGCAGGAGATCGACGAGGAAACAGAAGCACTACAACCGCTGAGTATGCATTTCCCGCCGTCAGAATATGTGAAGAAAATCAAGCTATCAACTAGGTGCTATATTCACGAAGTGTTGACTATGTTCGATAAGTTGGCGCCTCCGATGAGCAAGTCTGAGAGGGCATGGTTTGAGGACCATCTGAGTTTCCAACACGTCTTCCACATGCCAAGAGACCCTAACCACCGACTTATGGGGATGTGGATGCTCCTTCTTCGCACGGCGCGCATTGAAAGGAAGAAAGAAGTGTGGTTCATCGTCAATGGCGTTCCAATCCGATATGGTATATCGGAACACGCATTGATATCGGGCTTCAATTGCAAGAACTATACACTTGGGTATGAAAAAATGGGAAGTATGGAGTTCAAGACGAAGCATTTCAAGAATACTGTTGTGAAACGCGAAGACGTGGGAGAGAAGCTCTTAAAAATGAAACCGGCGGGTGAAAGATCTAAAGAAAGGTTGAGGATGATGGTCCTCTATTTCTTAAGCAGCATTTTTGTAGCGCCTATCAAGACCGGGGATAAGGCACCTCAATTGGATGATTTGTGTCTAAGGGCTGTGACTGATCTCACGTTTTGTAGGAATTTTCCGTGGGGGAGGTATTCTTTCGATTACATGTTAGGAACCATCGTACACACGATGGATCATTTTAATGGTTTTGTCACCAACAACGAAAAATACATATGGCCGGTTCCGGGTTTCTGTCTTCCGTTAGAGGTAAGTTACAAGTTATATTAATTGGTGATTGTTAGAAATACTAATAATACTGGGAATACTATTTATTGGAATACTGGTAATACTGTTTATTATAGGAATACTGGTAATACTTGGAATACTATTTATTAGTAGTACTGGTAATACTGGATATTAGAAAACTAGTAATACTGAGGAACATGAATACTGGTAACACTGAGTAACAGGAATACTGATAATACTATTAATAGGAATACTGATAATACTGGTATTACTGTTGAATCTAAATATATGTTTTTTTTTATTCTGTAGCTTCCTGCATTCGAGGCAATCCCACTGTGAGGGAAAAATTCATTGACGAGATTGTACGAACAGATGAAGGATATCCTAGGATGTGCAAGCTGATGTTCAAGAAAAACCATTTGAAAGGCTTTCTTCTTGATACTATTAATCTAGAATTGGGAACAACTCAGATTAGTTGTCCTAGATATACTGTTTTATGAAATGTTTACTATTCTATTTAATTATAATAAACACATATTTGTTTATGTTTACAGGTCGTTGATTGTAAACACCTAGAAATTGAA